GGGGGGGGGGGGGGGGGGCGGAAGAAAGGGCGGAGGGGGTGTAGTCCCACGAATCCTTCGTGGGACCACCTGCTTGGGTGTAGAGGGGTCGCAACCTGAACAAATGCTTTATAGTTTTTTTTGAAGTACTTGTGCCGAAAGGTTTGCATCGAAAGAAATGATAGGAAGACAGGGCTTTCCACGAGCGTCTCCCATGCTTGCGGAACAATGACTGATATTCTGGTGTATGTACATACTCTTCGTATCACCATCATCATCATCAGCATTGGTAGGATCAGTGTGAGAGTCTTTTTTGTATTCCTCGTGTCGCTTCCCGGTTCTAGTTGCTTCTAGTTCCTTTCTTGCCATAAGTGCGAGAGGACTGTCAGTAGTGTTCTGTTTATCTTGAGAAGCCAGAGGCCTGGCTGAGGACACGATGAACGTCCGCCTGCAGTCGCTTCAGAAGCAGCACGGCCGCAGCGGTTTGTCCCAGGCTATTGTAGGTTTACACCGATTGCAGTAGGGTTTCGTTCGTTTAGGTTCAGTGCTACAGGATGTTTGGGTTCGGGTTTGGGCTTCGTGGTCATAGAACCTGAGTTTTCAGATCTATAAGCCGACGGTCTGCATGTGGGACGAGCGTTTCTCTAGAGGCTCCGGCCTCTGAGAGCTCCTTCAACAATTCTGGGCTGAAGCTTGAGACATCCCTGACCTCCGAGCAAAAAGAAAACCGCAAAACCCCCACTGCTTCTGCGACGAAGACGACGACTACTACGACCAATACTGTGCATTTCATACATGTAACGTTGCGGCAACGATCGTAGGTACCAGCAACACGGTTCGTGGCAACACGAAGAGGGGTCCACGCGAAGATACCTCTTCAATCGAAAGTCAACTGACGGAACAAAAGCACGAAGATGTCGGAACTTGAGAGACAGATGCTCAAGATCCAAACTCGGCCTTGCGTTCCGGGCCCGAAGCTGCAGGAGATGGAAGAAGAGGGTCTCGTCCTAGATCCGAATCCCTGCTGTGAGGTTGGAGCGGATTCTGGTGCGGCAGGGTGTGCCTTGCCTCACAATTAGTGAGACGACTTTGAGGAGTGGATTGTGTAACTGGAGTATCGAAGCCAATTACTACCAGTATCCATGTATACTGCACATGATGTGTATATACGCACATATTGCACAAAAGATAAATGCATAATCAAATAGACATGTCATAAAAAGTAGATCTTAAAACAACATATATATATATATAATCACACGCTATATACAAATAATCCTTCATACGTATATGCACATCTCTTTGTTTAATTTTCTGTGTTTCATATATATATATATATAAAGGTATACATACGTACATACCTACATACATACTTCTTTTGTTCGTATGCACACATCTATACTGTATATAGGGGCTTCTCAAACCACGATGCCACTCGCCTTCCCTCAAACCGGTTCTTCGAGGACATCCTAGCAACAGACGTGGTGGACGCTGTCTTCGATGCGATGCTCAAGCCGCTTCTGAAACGGCTGAAGGACCGTTTCAAACCCTGTCCGCATACCTTCATGCTGTACCAGGGTGGATATTTTGAAGTTGCAGTCTACCTATTCGCCACTGGAAGTTGAAGGTCTACGGTAGTTCTCCGAATCATCTCGATCCAGCCTATCTAGGACAAGAGCGAGAAGTGCCGCGAGCTGGCCGTGAAGATTCTCCGCAGTCTGGTGGAGAATACTTCTGACCTCGCCGCGGCACTGCCGGGGCCTCGGAGCCTTAAAGCGCCCATGGCACGTCGATCGCAAGCCTGAAAAAGTTCGGCGAAAGAGGCACTTGCCGACCGGAGGCCCTACGTTTTTCCGACGCTGGTGTCCCGCTTGGGCTGCGAGGCGATCGGTGGGGGCTGGGCGGTGGTGGGAGACAGGCACTAAAGGTGACAGTTGAGGTGCGGGAAATTCGCCACTCGAAGCCTGCATAGGCTGAGTGCAGCTGCATGCCACCACAGTCTTGTTGTGGGGACGAGAATCCTTGACCCAGGACTTAGATGGTGTTGCGCACCTACCAGAGGCCGGCAGGAGCATGTCTCGGGATTTCCGAAGTGAGGGCGGTGCTTGGGTATCTCTGACCGGGAGACATCGCGCTGCACCTCACATTGGGTCCTTGGGGTTCCAGATGATGCTCATCATTCAGCACACAACGGCCACAGCCACATTGATGCCGGACTCCATACTACACACTCGGTACTAGATACGACGTGCGATGCTTGTCTGAACATCTCTTCGAGTCGGGTCTTGTCGTTCCCTACTTTAACAATCAGAATCGGACAGGGGAAATGCAGACGCCAGAACCACCGAAAGACCCTAGACACTAAATCCAGAGAAACAGGAATCCCTAAACCTCTAAGCTGAACCTGAACCGCCTGAACCCTCAACGCCTACCCCTACACCCCCGAATCCTAAAGACGAAGACACCATCCAACCCCAAACCCCGCAAAGAATGTAACACCCAGAAAAGCGCTCCACAAAACTTCCAAAACCCATCCGAAACCAGAACCCTAAACCTGACACCCTAAACTCGAAATCCCGAACCCTACACCCCACACCAGCAATTATTATTAGTATTGTTTGTATGATTTGTATGCATACAGTTACAGATATATATACACACACACACCTACTTAGATTTGTATCTATATATCTATATACCGATATCTCATATACATATTTATACCTATATATATATATAT